CACTGACCTGAAATTTACACTTGGGAAAAAGATATCTTGCCGGATGTGGCCAAAAGATAGATGATTCCCAAAGTAGTTTAGGACCGCTCCAGCTGTAGCAAGGAATGGGGTTCCAAGAATCAGTTGATTCCTCTTTGAGCCTTCCCAAATCATGACTTGAAAGTCAGTTGGGACCGATCGACCCCCTATTTCCATCATGACATCTTCAAGCATTCCATAAGGTTCCATGCACGATAGATCCGCGAACTCGACTCTTATCTTGGGGCTCTTGAATTCCTTGAATCCCAAATCTTTTGCAAGTGCAAGAGACATTAGATTAACATTAGCACCAGTATCACATAGGCAATCGTGGAGTTGAATGCCATTGATACTTGAAGTTATCACAAACTTCCCCGGATCTTCTTGTTTTTGTAGTGGCTTGCCTTCAAGTCTTCTCTTGTAAGCTCTTCTTGATTCCCAACTGTATCTCTCCGGTTTGTGCCTCTCCTTAGGCTCATTTTCTTCTTCTTCCCCTTGAGATAGTGTAGGAACAATTGTGCCATCTATAGATGAGACAACACTACAAAATTTTTGAGTGTTTACCTCATTTTGTTTCTTGGCCGCCTCGGCTGTTTGAGCGATTTGCACCTCAAGCTTTTGAACGTGAGTAGAGAGAGACCCAAACTTGCTGCTTAGATCACCAAACATGTGATCAAGCTTCTCATATAGGTTCTTGGTGATCAATCTCTGCTCCTCCATGTATTTCTTCAACGCCACGTCAACCTTCTCTCCGGTTTGGGTTGGATTTGTTTCTTGAGAAAAAGTGAATGGTTGCTTCACTTGGTACATCCCTCTTGGATAGACTTGTTGTGGCTTGGATTGGTATTGGCCTCCTTGATACGCTCCTTGATTGGGGTAGACTTGGTCATTTGGATTCTCCACATTGTTGCTCCGGTATGATAGGTTTGGATGCGCGCGAAATGGTGGATTGAATCCTCTATTCCCATAGTTTCCTCCAATGTAGTTGACTTCCTCTAGATTCTCTTCAGCGCCATCTCTCATGAAATCCATAAGAGTGTCTTCATTTGTGGCTAGGGCATCTTCAATGGCGTGAACTCCTTGTCGGCTTTTAAGTAGTTGTGAGACCATGTTCCTTAGCTCCGAGATTTGAGCTGATTCTGATGAGCTCGTGGTCTTCACGCTTCTATTGTAGTCAGGGCATGCATTGGCATCACTAGCAGCGAGATTCTCAATCAAAAGCTTTGCCTCCGGCACCGACTTGGTCATGAAATTACCATTGCTCGCGGTATCGAGAGAAAGCTTGTATTTATGATCAATCCCATTGTAAAAGATGTTCCAAAGGTTACCTTCTGAAAAGCCATGGTTAGGGCAGCTTCTTGTGTACTCCTTGAATCTCTCCAAAGCTTCATAGAATGACTCCATTGAATCTTGCTTGAAACCAGAAATCTTGCTCCTTATAGAGTTGGATCTTTGCTTAGTGTAGAATTGGTTCAAGAAAGCTCCCTTGTATTCATTCCATGTTGTAATGGACTGAGGTGGTAAAGATTTTACCCATCTTAGCGCCTTGTCACTTAGAGAAAAAGTGAATAGCTTGCACTTGAAGTAATCCGGCGATACTCCATTAACACGAGTTGTGCTACATATCTCCTCAAAGGTGTCGACGTGATCAAGAGGATGCTCAGTGGGCAAACCATGGAATTGGTTTTGCTTCACCAAGGCAATGATCTGCGGTTTGATCTCAAAATCGTTCCTTGGAGGTAGAGGCGGTCGGATTGGATTCCGATCCATAAAGAAAGCATCGGACGAATCAAAGTCTCCCATAGTTTGGTGCCTTGGATGCTGCGCGTTTGGCACTCTCCTTGGAGGTGCGTGAGGTTGGTCTTGAGGCATCCCTTGGTTGTCACCGTGACGATGATGTCCATTTGCAAACGCCGGTGGTGGTCGCGGCGGGTTAAGAGGTGGCTGTAGCGGCTCAGCTGCATCGGGCGCGTTCGGATTGGGTGGAGGAACGTCTCTGGCCGGTGCTGGCTGGTCAGCTCTAGCTTCTGCTGGATTAGGAGGATCATTGGCTCTCCTCTCTTGGTCGGGCGGGTTGTGTGGCCTATTTGGCGCGCCTTCTCCGCCTGGATTCATTCTTTCTCTCCTTAGTCGCCTAAGTGTGCGCTCAAGTTGGTCAATGTCAAGATCTTCTTCAATGGTTGTATTTGGATTGGACCTTCTTGTCATGCACCTTAGAAACACACAAAGAGAGAGTTAAGTAAAATTTTTATGAGTTTTTAAGATTTTATGAAAAACAAAAACAAAGAAAAGTGAAAGATGAGATGAGCTAGTCTTGAAATCAATCAAGAGGTGTGAAGGAAAAGCAACTCCTCCCCGGCAACGGCGCCAGAAAGCTTGATGGCGGGTTTAGATTGCCTCAAATTTTCACAATTTATAAACCCAACTAATGAGCTGCAAGTGCACAGCCGTGTTGTAGTCGGGGTCGAACACGAGGAGGAAGTGTTCTCACTTAACACCTTGTGAGATTGGTTTGTAGCTAGCTCGCAATATGAGGTGGTTTTGGACCTAGAATGAGAAAACAAAACAAAAGAAATGTGAGTGAGTTTGTAAACAATTTAAAACAAGAGTTAGGCAAAGGACAATCATATGGAGCAATGATGAAAAGATAGTTGCATGGGATGTGTGTAGAGCCGTCTTGAACATGAATCACTAGTGTATGGTTTTCCACTGTCGTGGCTCCAACCACTATGTTTAAAACAACCTAATATACTCAGCTTTCGTTGGCTATTAGAATTGCAAACATGCATTACAAGGTTCAAGATTCAATTGTTCACAATAAACCATAACTCAGCTTTCGTTGGCTATGATCTATTGCTCACCAAATACTAGTTTTGAGATCTAGATTCAGCACTGTCGTGGTTCTATTTCTCTAAGATCAGATTACTAGATGTACGGTAGAGTAATCATGCATTAAGCTCAAGTAAAGGTGAAGATCCATAAGATAAATCCCAATAAGTTGCAACACAATCAAATCATCACGGCCACCATAGATCTCCTCGGCCTAACTAAGAGATCTACTCGGCCATGATGCAAACAAGCAAGCAAAGCATGATTGTAAACATTATGCAAGTATTAAAAGAGATAAAGGGATGAAGAAAGCTTCTCTATTGATGAACAAAGTCGGATTCTCCCTTGAAAACTCTTAAGATCAAGTTTATAGAAATGGAAACAATGAAAAAGAAAGAACAAGAGTTGAGCGGCGCCTCCTTCTTCTTGGACGATCTCCTAGGGCTTCTCTTCTCTTCTCTCTCTTCTCACACGTAACTCTTTGATAATTTTACTGGACTCGATCTCTCTTCTTCAGCGGCTAAAAACATGTATATATGGGCGAAGTCGCGTAGGGTTTTCTTCATGCCGGAAAAGGAAAGTTTCCCGCGCAAAGCCTTCTTCTCCACGTCGTGTATGGGCCGACATTGTACCAAGGAAAGCTCCAAACATTAGCCAGGCCTCTTCTCTATTCGATCAAGGCCTTTGGCGCTGCTGCTCGGGCCATTAGACACTCCAAATCCTCCATGGGCTTCGTTTACTCGCTTACCGGACATGTCTCGGTAGAAAATAAGTCTAGGCCTCATAGTTGATCCAAATGGCTTCATTCCACTTCGACGTGATGCATGACTCAAGTATCTATCTTTCCATATCAAGATCGTAACTTTTGGACGTCGGGAACTCCTCCGCGCGCGGCCAAACTTCCGAAGCTTCGTTCTGCGCGCAAGCGAGAACTAACACTTGGAGATAAAATGATCTTCTTGACTTGGAAACTTGCATGGATCTTGATTTAGGGCTCTTTTACTCCTTTTTGCATCCTTTTTGATTATTTCACCTACAAAGACTTCAAATCCCACAAATACAAGAAAACTACCTCTAAAGGCAAAGAATCTTGCAAAAACCGTTTGAAAACATAGGTAAATTATATAGTAAAATCATGTAAAATATGGTGATATCAGTAACCCTAGCAACCTAACTAGTGGATTACTCAGACATGATCAAAGCAAACACACATAGAGATGAAGAAAACATGATTGCAATAAAACTTAGAGTAGGAAATCGAAATACAGGGCGGCTCTCTTTTCACAAGAGGCTAAAAAGCTATATATATAGTGCTAGGTCTTTTGAGGCGGCTTAGGGTTAAGCCGGGCTTGAAAATATGAAATGGGCTTCAAAACGGGCTTCGGGTCGACCGCGGCGTTGGGACGGTCGTCGGGACGATCGGCCGGACAGTCGGGTCGTGGCCGAGTCGGAACGGTCGTGGCCGGATGATTCACGGTCGGCCGGCGTGGTCGAGCGGATTGAGATTTGGCCGAAGGTTTCTCGGCCGGACGTGGGACGTTCTTTCCCGGCTCGGACGGATGCATCGGCCGTGGTACGCGAGGGTTGCGCGGCCGCGAGGCTTTGTTTCCCGGCTCGCGCGGCTGGTCGTGCGCGGCTGGCGTCGGATGTGACTTGGCCGACCGCGGGACAATGTTTCCCGGGTCGTGTTGCGTGATCGGCCGAGCGGTTTTGGACTTTGGCCGAGACTTCAGTCGGACGGACACAGTTTTGGCCGAGCGCGGAACATGCGTTCCTCGGCCAGCCGGACTGCGCGGTTTGGGCGCTGATTCTCGATAGAGCCGTCTGGAGCAGTTCACTCTTTTGGCTATAACTCCTTTTCTACTCATCCAAATGAGCCATTCCAGTTGCGTTGGAAAGTTAACTCAATCAGAGCACGCAGGGAACTGGTCTTGATGAAATCCATTGAGTAGATCTTTTTCTGGGCCCTCTTAAAGTTGGTGCTTGTGCATGGAGCTGCTTGAAGTGCAAATCCTATGGTTTTGCTCCAAAATGCATCATTTCACCTGTTTAGACTCTAGACACTATAAACACAGTAAAACTACCTTTTTAGATAGAAAACCTGCCAAAAACCATTAGAAAACAATGCTAAAACAGTATAAAAAGTGGGTAAATTAGAGGGATATCAAAGAACCAGAGAGAGCACTAACCCTTAGACAAACCAAAAAGCGGAGAGGGAGACCTCCTTCAAAAGGCACATCCAAGGAGACCCAAAAGAGCCTACCTGCAGGTACAAGCAAAAGGAAAACAAAGAACCAAATGAAGTCTCCCTTGCTCAGGATATCCCCCTTATCGAGAGTCATAAACAATAAAGTGAATTCAACTCCCCAAAACCCGAGCTCAAGGAAAAACAACAATGAAGCAAAGCAACAAACAGGAAGCTTACCTCCACGTATACGCACAGTCCCACCGAGACTTCAGGATGGAGTGATTTTCACAATCCGCAAAATCCTCTTCCTTAGCGTTAGTGAGCTGGAACTGTTGTGGGTAAGGGAATCCCATCACAGTTCACAGACTGAAGGAGCTACACAAGAAAAATGCTCCAGATGTAATTTTCCTCATGGAAACCAAAAATAACGAAGATTTCATCACGAAACACCTACCTCTACTGGATTTCAGCAACCGCTTCTTGGTTCCACCACACAGCCCAGGAGGAGGAGGCCTTGCCCTGTACTGGAAAACAGACGTTGACCTCCTGATCACATCCTCCTCCGACAACTTCATTGATGCAAAAATCTCCTACAAAGAAAAAATGTTTGTCACCACCTTTGTCTATGGCGAACCAGATAATACAAAGAGAAAAGCAGTTTGGGAAGAACTTGCAAACAAAAATGTTGATAGAGACGTATTGTGGTTCTTGATGGGAGATTTCAATGACATACTAGACTATAGCGAGAAGACAGGAGGACCTCAGAAAGCAGTGGATACTTTTGGAGACTTTAGAGCTTTCATCTCGCACAATGATCTCTATGATGTGCCTCATTCTGGAAACGCCTTATCTTGGAGAGGGATCTGACGCAACCACCTAGTTCATTGCCGGTTGGACAGATAACTATCAAACGGACTATGGGCTGAGGCCTACCCTGCAAGCAGAAGCTTCTACTTGGACTTCGAAGGCTCTGACCACAGACCGCTACTATCTATCTTAGAACAACATCTGAAGAAGAACAAAGGGATTTTCCGGTATGATAGGAGTATGAAAGACAACCAAGCAATATCTGAGATTGTAGAGAAAGCTTGGAAATTATCTGAAGAGGCACCAGTAATGCAGAGGATATCCAACTTCTAGGCGAGCTATCTCTCAGTGGAACCGCGAACACCTCGTCAACTCGCAAAAGACCATCCAACTGAAAAAGAAGAATCTGGAGGAAGCAACGAGCTCAGCGAGCCTAGACCAAGGGAGATTAGTGGAAATTAACCAAAACTCAAAAGCAACTTACCAGAAGGAGGAGGACTACTGGAGACAGAGAAGCAGAACCATCTGGCTAGCGCTTGAGGACAAAAACTCTGGCTACTTTCATGCAACAACAAGAGGAAGATCAGCAATCAATAAATTGGCGATTATTGAAGATAGCAATGGAACTGCAGTGTATGAGGAAAAGAAGATAATAAAAGTTATAAGTTTCTATTTCCAAAACCTGTTTACCACCCGATCATCTAACTGCTCAGAAACAGTTAACCAAGCCCACTAGCCGTGTATCTCGCAAGCAATGAATGATTCCTTGATAGCAGATCCCTCAGCTATGGAAATCAAATCAGCCCTCTTCTCAATCAATCCGGACAAGCCCCAGGACCTGACGGATACTCTGCAGGTTTTTTCCAAACAAATTAGTCAGTAATGGGTCCAAAGATAGTAGAAGAATTTCAAGAGATATTCAAAGCTGGATACATCCCTAGCTCTATCAATTCTACCTATGTGAGACTAATCCCAAAGGTCCCTAGTCCAAAGACAGTTGCAGAGTACATACCTAGTGCTTTATGCAATGTCTACTACAAAGTTATCTCAAAGATCCTAACCAGAAGACTCCAACCAATCCTACCTACAATCATATCTGAGAATCAAACGGCGTTCGTACCTGAAAGAGCCATCTCAGATAATGTTTTAATTACTCATGAAAATCTTCATTACCTCAAGTCCTCTGGAGCTACGAAGCACTGCTCCATGGCGGTTAAGATGGATATGAGCAACGCCTACGATAGACTTGAGTGGGGTTTTATAGTTGCGGTCATGGAAAGAATGGGCTTTCACCCGAAATGGATTAACTGGATCTTCCAGTGCATATCCACAGTCTCCTATACCTTCCTTATCAATGGATCAGCCCAGGGACGTGTTTCCCCTCAACGAGGCATCAGACAGGGCGACCCTCTATCGCCTTTCATCTTCATTCTGTGTAGTGAAGTACTCTCTGGACTCTGTAAGAATGCATAAACAAACGGTTCAATGCCAAGGATAAGAGTTTCAAGAAAAAGCCCCAAGATAAACCACTTACTGTTTGCAGACGACATTATGTTCTTCAGCAAGACAAACCAAAAAAGCTGCGAAACACTCAGCCTGATCCTGAAAAGATATGAAGAAGCGTCATGATAACAAATCAGTTTCTCAAAGTCTTCCATCACTTTCTCCAGAAAAAAACCACAAGAGATACGATCACGAGTTAAAACAACTCTAGGCATCGAGAAGGAAGGAGGTCAGGGTAAATACCTAGGTCTGCCAGAGAGCTTTGGTCGAAGGAAAAAAGATCTTTTCACACTGATAGTGGACCGCATTCGCCAAAGATCTATCAAATACTCCTCACGCTTCCTCTCCACGGCAGGGAAGATGACTTTGCTCAAATCCGTCCTTTCTGCCATCCCCACCCACATATGCAATGTCCTGCTTTAAACTCATTGTTGGACTCTGCAAATGTATACAATCAGCTCTTACTCGTTTCTGGTGGGATACATCTATGGGAAAAAAGAAGTTGTGTTGGCTATTGTGGACTAAACTTACCAAAGCAAAAAAACAAGGAGGACTCGGCTTCAGGGAGATCTATAGCTTTAACGACTCTCTTATGGCCAAGATAAGCTGGAGAATCCTTAAGAATCCATCATGCCTCCTCAGCAAGATCCTTCTAGGCAAGTATTGCAAGGACAATGACTTCCTAAAAGTCCCCATCACCTCATCAACATCCCACGGATGGCGTGGGATCCTAATTGGACGTGACCTCCTCACCTCCCGCTTGGGACGAGCCATTGGAGATGGACTCTCCACGTCTTTATGGAATGACCCCTGGTTATCTCTAAAAACTCCTTCACGACCAATGGGGCCACCTAGACTCTCAGACCAGAACCTGAAAGTCTCAAACATCTTAATTGTACATACCAGAGAATGGAACACCGAGAAGATCGCATAACTCTTACCGGCGCATAGGGAAGAAATACAGGCTCTAAGACCAAGTAGAAGAGGCGCCTCGGACTCCTACATATGGCTCCCTACCAAATCAGGCGATTACTCGGTGAAAACAGGCTACCACACAGCTGTGGAGATAAAGTCAGACCCAATCCTACATCAAAACCACCCTCAGCTGAATTGGAATGCAGACATTTGGCAAGCTCAAGTCTCACCCAAAATGAAAGGGTTTCAATGGAAAATAGTACAAGAAGCTTTACCTTCAGGCGAGAATCTTCTCAATCACAGAATCCTCGATAACCCCTACTGCGCTTTCTGCGGAGACTTGGAAACGACTAAAACCTTTCTTTCACTGTAATTTTGCGTAGGCGGTTTGGAAACTAGCCCCGTTCTCAGGAACCATCAATCCCCTCATGTTCCAATCATTCACCGACACCCTCATTGCTTCGAATAGCCTGGATATGCCTCCCACCAACCGGAATCGGAGCAGGAACGCTCTTCCCTTGGATCCTTTGGGCCCTATGGAAGACTAGAAATAACCTAATCTTTGAGGAAAGATCCTTCTCCCCCACAGAGACGATAACCAAAGCTATAGTGGAAGCCAGAGACTAGCAACTGGCGCAAATGGAAACCCAAAAGCAAATTTGGAGTCATGCACAGCCAAACCGAACCACCATCGACTCGGAATAGGAGGACTGGGCTGAATTTTCGTAGACGAAGACGGCACAAACATCGACTCGGGCCAGGGAGCGGAACGCTTCGTCTCCTCACCGCTCATGGCCGAAGCTTTGTCGATCCGATCGGCGCTTAACCATGCACTGGAAAAGGGATTTTCAAATATCCAACTCAAATCTGACGCTTAATACCTCATCAGAGCCATCTCAAAGCAAGAACAAGTCAAAGAGATCTACGGAATTCTCTTTGCCATTCACACTCTAGCATCTATGTTTGAAACAGTCACCTTCGTTTCCATCCCTCGATCTGAAAATTCTGTGGCTGATACGATCGCCAAGATTGCAAAAAATCGCTTTGTCTCTTTAATTTCCCACTGGGATTCACCTGCTATAATCATTAGCTACGTTTAATGCGAAATGAAGTATTTGTTGTTCAAAAACAGAAAAAAAAGCTTTCTTATTCACTCTCACAAATATAATAACTTTAATATCCTTAAAATCACCTATTATTAATATCTTTTGATGATATTTTTAAATCATATATATGATTAGGGAAGAACTCTCTCCATTATTTTGACACTTGGATGCACGAGAGTCTGACATGTGTACACAAAATTATAAAAGTTGATACATCTCCTCGAATAACTTCCGTTTATTGCTCCTCGACATGTAACGTATGACGGTATGAGAACACCTCTGAACTTCTCTTATCTATCCATTTAATACTTCTGTCATCTCTCCATACTGAGACCCTTAGAGATTCGATCTCCAAGCGGCCAAATTTAATATCTGTAATCAAAACTATATTCATCCTTCAATTTCTAAACATTTAGAACTAAATCTGCCCTCACTGCTCGACACGAAGAGTGTGAAGATTGCCTCTGTTTTTCCTCACTTCCGTCCTTAAGTCCCTTTCTATCCAATCCAGTGATGAAGTTGCCGTTGCTCACATCTCCCAGCCTAATCTTAAGAGATTGCAATTTTTTCTTCTGCTGGGGTATTCCTTCCGGGTTGGCTCCAAAAAACTCTATCACATGTAGTGGGATCACAATCCCTTTAGTTTAGGAGTAACCGTTTACACGGTTATGATCTCATCAATTTCATACAAGTTAGATGCTGAGAAAATATTAGAGATGCAAAGCAGAGAAAATATCATTCTAAGTAAACTTTATATATTCTGTCTAAACATCATCATCTATCACATAATATTGTTTGTCTGTTTAATAGTAATATTAAAATATTAGTCAAAACAAAAACCCGCGCGTAAGCGCAGGTATTAGCCTAGTGACAATTAAAATAAGAAGGCATAGAATGTAGAAACCCTATTCTTATAACTATATTGGATGTGCACGACTTGGTTGTGATAAGCAAGATAATTATAACTTATAAGATCGCAACAAGTCTTAAGATATAGACATGTGTTTTGGAAAAGATGGTTTCTTTAGTTTTAAAATCTACCTATCCAAGGCAAGATAAAAAGGCAATATCGTTATGAATCTGATATTCTTTTGTTGTATTCGTATCCAATGTGGAATAGTGTTCCATCTCCAAGTAAAGAAAACGAAGATAACACAAGCTACAAAATCATTTGATATTAAGAGACAACGATTTGCTTCTTAATTAGCTCTCGAGATTTTTGTTTGCGTTTTGATTTGGTTTTATAATAGTTGGCTTAATACTGTGTTTTACATTAACTATCGAATATGAGTGGAAATTGTATCTATTTTGACAAAAAAGAATCTTACTTTGTGGGAGATTATTGTAGTAATCCATGAATTTATATAGTTTCAAAGCTCTTCCTCTACGTATACAACAAAGTAAGAAACTAAGAAGAATATAGATCTCTTTGCATTACCGGAGTACACTAAGAAGATTAATTTCCTCGTCAAATCTTTCTCATCGTGAAACTTTTTCGGAGTGGTTTACTCCAAGTACGACTCTTTCACAGATCGAATAAGAACCACTGGGAGAGAGATGGATAGAAATAACACCTTCTTTTTACTAGTACGAAGACTCCACAAAAAGCAAGATCAAACCTATCAAAAAATGTAATAAGTTTGTTTTGCTTATAATTTGCATACGTTTTCATATGTTTTGCCTATTTTTGTTAATTTTTTTACAATTTTATTTATAGTCATAACGTATGATAAAATATTAATTAAAAATATTATTAAACTCATTATCAGTTTGTAGATTTTAAAATATCTGACATATACTTATAAAACTAAAAATATTTGATAACTGGTCAGATTGGAATGGAGAATTTACGGGTACATATAGGGAGAACTATAAAGGTTTTTGCTACTGGATCATCAAATTGTATAAGAAATTTTAAAAAAACTCGCTTCTTTTACATAGTTATAACCAGAATGGTTTCTTGAATTTGAGGAAAATGGTAAATCATCTTTATAGGTAACTGCAATATATTTTTTATTCAATAAGTAATCCTTACAAGATAAGATAAAAAGTTGCCTATAAATCAATAATGGTTTATCGTTCACTTTATTTGAGAGATTAAAGATTTTTTACTCTAAACTTTTGTCCACTTATACTCTAATTTGGGCGCTTCTTTCCCATGTGTGAAGTAAATTCCATCTTCTCTAGCATCCCAAAAATTTTGTTTACCATAATGAACAATGCCACCACCACCTTCATATGCCCTAAAGTTTGCCTGAAGCCTGTAATTAAACCCTTGCGATAGATCACAATCGAATATGGTCTTGAAAACACTTTCCTGAAAACTAAAGTCGTAAGTTTGTCCAGGTTTCAATATGTGGACACCTAAGTTGTCTTCGTCTGACACACAATGAATTCTGAGAAGGTTGTTCGGACTAAGAGAACTTTTGAAATGTACAGTCTCTTTCTCCCAAATCGCGATAATTGACTCAATGTACAGTAAAATGATAACCAAAAAGCAGGAGAGAAATTTCATCTTTGTGTGTATGTGTATTTCGCTATAAGACTGATTTTATCTGCGATAAAAGGGTTCCAATTTATAGAATCTGATTTACAAGGTCATAATCATGCATTCCATTTTGTTCATGATTTTGCATATCATAATAAGGCGTTACGCTTTTAAAACAAAATTTTCTTGTTTTGGTAAATGTTGAAAATAATTATTCGTATACTCTAATGGAAAGATGGCATAACTAGATATTATGCTAAATTTAGGAATATTTTTTCCATAGAGTTTCGGTGTACGGACATAGAAGATATATTAGAGTTTCGGTGTACAGACATAGAAGATATATGGGAACACAAGTCAATCACCTATAATGAAAATTGGACAAGAAGATAACAGCTTGGAAACAAAAAAGGAAGTTGAACAGATTGAGGATGAGATTTGCAGAGAATCAGGAGTAGAGAGTAATCTAGGAAACATGGAGGCATAGCTGGTGATAGCACTTTAATTTGCATTTGTAAAGAGATGTATAGGTAAAGATATCGATTTTAGGTATTATAGCATATAAAATATTAAGCCTTAAAAAAAAAAAAAAAAAAAAAGCATATAAAATATTGACATTATATTTATTTTTCCAATCTTCAAACCGCAATGGTCAAAGTCTTCTAGAATATGATGCTTACGTAAGACTATTTGTGTATGCATGGTAAAAGAGTCCTTCTGAGCCATCTGAGTTTCTATCGTGATGTGTGTTATTCTACGAGGTACCCAAAGGGTAGGACTTTGTGTTTCTTTATGATTTGTGAGATATATTTTATTTTTTTATTTTGAGTTATTGAGCCATACTTTTGTGTATGTGCTGTAATAGTTTCATGAGCGAAGAAAACAAAAATGTGAAAGCAAAACAAATGTATTAGTTATGATTATAATTTATGTTTATTTAAAAAATTTGTGTGAAAAATATTTTACATTTTAACCATATATTACTAAAACAAACATAAATTATATTTCATTTGAAAAATATATTTTGTATGTAAAATGACTGTTTTAACCTTATTTTAACAAAACATTACTAAATAATGATTAATTAAAAACCAAATTCAAAAATATTATTATAAATGATAATATTTTTTTATAAAATTGAAACAGTTTGCCCTAATAGAGTTTCTCCAAGGCACATTTACCAAGACAGCCGCCGGCCTCCGATCTCAGCTCCGATTTCAGGTTCGATCTTCTTCACCAGAGATATCTGCCTGAAATCGGAAGCACCACCTCTTTTCCCGGAGCCGCCTAGGCTTTCGATGACTTTTTTCTTATTCTTTCCGTCAGTGGCCATGGCACCAGCGAAACCTGCTCGCAGCTTCTTCTTCTCCGGCCGATCTCTATCCCTGGTGGCTAACTCGACGAGATCTATCAAGCTCTAGAGGACGGGGCTTCATATTCTGTCTTGCACGCCATCGGAGGTGACAGTTCGAGCGCCATAGTCTTCGCCGGCTCCGCCGGTTCCTCCTCCGAAACCTCCAGATCCGCTGGTTATATCTTTCTCACCCTCTGCATTAGGTCTCGCATGGGCTATATGTGAGCATCTGGTTCAAGTGAAGAAAGCACCTACTCTGTTTGCTACTCACTTCCACGAACTTACTGCCTTGGCTCAAGCGAACTCTGAGGTCGCAGGTAACACCGTTGGTGTGGCAAACTTCCATGTCAGCGCACACATTGACACCGAAAGCCGCAAACTCACCATGCTTTACAAGGTTGGTTTAATGAAATTGCATCTGCCCCTTCCCAAAAAATAGAAGATTTATATGCGCTGAATATTGAATTCTCTCTCTTGCAGCTTTAGCAAAAGTGTCTCTGTTTGATTGTCTTGCGTACATGAAAGTAGATGTTTTGATGAGCTGTTTTTGTCTGGTTAGGTTGAACCAGGGGCATGTGACCAGAGCTTTGGGATACATGTGGCTGAGTTCGCCAACTTCCCTGAAAGTGTAGTGGCGCTCGCAAGAGAGAAAGCTGCAGAACTGGAAGATTTCTCTCCGTCTTCCATGATAATCAACAATGAGGTCCGGATTCGTTTTGGTTGATGATGGAATCTTGACACATTCTTCAGTTTTGTGCCTATGTATTGAAACAAAGATGAGAATGTTGTGCTGCTGTTTGCAGGAGAGTGGGAAGAGAAAGAGCAGAGAAGATGATCCAGAGGAAGTATCGAGAGGGGCAGCGAGAGCTCACAAGTTTCTAAAAGAATTTGCAGAGATGCCACTTGATAAAATGGAGCATAAAGATTCACTTCAACGCCTACGTGATATGAAAGAAGAGCTAGAGAAAGATTCTGCGAATTGCCACTGGCTCAAGCAGTTCCTCTAAAAAAAGCCTTGGGATTCACTTCTTCTCTGGTTTCGTACTTGTAAATTAGCTGTCCTTTCTTGTATGTTGGGAAAAACGGTCAATAACACGCAACACCGCCGCAGCGAAGCACTTGTGTGAACCTGTGAGAAAAAATATTTCGACAATGGCAGAATATGGCAAAGCTGAAAGTAAATGAGACAGCAAATTTTTACGTGGAAAACCCCCTCGATGTGAGGAGTAAAAACCACGGGACCGTAGTCCACTCAAAATCCACTATATGAAATGAATATAAGTTACAACCACGTCCTCCCTGTTCCCACAGAACAGATCCAGAGACTCAGGCTACAAAGAGCAATCTCCTCAACAAGAAACTCAACAAGAGAGCAATATAAAGGCACTACAAGAGCTCAGAAATAGACAGTCACAAACGACCTTCAGTTCACTAGGATTCCAGCCACCAAGAGAAGATCCCACCGTACAAATCCAAGATGAACAAGTCAAGAATACCTCTGCCAAATTTCAGCTCAATCAGAGAAGAACTCACCGTCGGATTTTCCAAACACTCAAGACAGAACCTGCTGAAAACCAGAACTCGCTACAGTAGCGAATAGCCCGCTAAAACCCAAATAACTCTCGAACCAACCGTCAGAACGCAAATCCCTCCGGTGAATCTCAAGATCGATGAGTCACGAAGCTCTCACAAAAGTTTCAGCCAAATCGGAGCACTATCGAACCTCCAAACGTTGTTTTTACAAAATCAGACGAAAGTGTTTTTCTCTTCTTTGCCTCTCAAGAAGTGCCTCTCTTTCTTGTATGTCATTCCACATGAATTAAGTTAAGAATATTTATATGGTTACTCTTAACCCTAAGCCCACTACTAATCTCATGAATTAGCATATGGCCCAATAGCTTGGTTCCTACTAACCAAGCCCAATGGTGTTTCCCCACTAGGAGGAACACCAACAAACTCCCCCTCCGACTAGGTGGAGGAAACAGCCATTCCGGCTATCCCTCGGCAGACTTCAAGTTTCCATCTCGGCAATGACTTTGTCATCATATCAGCTCCATTATCATCCGTATGAACTTTCTCAAGTTCCACTTCCTTAGAAGCAACCACATCACGTATCCAGTGATACCTCCGGTCGATGTGTTTTGAACGCGAATGAAATGTCGAGTTCTTTCCGAGACAAATTGCGCTTTGACTATCACAAAGCAACACATACTTATCTTGCTTGAAACCAATATCTGCCAAAAAGTTCTTCATCCATAACACTTCTTTACAAGCTTCCGTTGCGGCTATGAACTCAGCTTCAGTGGTAGAAAGTGCAACACACTTTTGCAACCTTGATTGCCATGCAACAGCTCCACCCGCAAAAGTTACCAAGTAACCAGAAGTAGACTTTCTGGAATCAACATCCCCAGACATATCAGAATCAGTATAACTGACAAGTAATGGTTTAGTACCTCCAAAGGTAAGCTTTAGGCTGGAAGTCCCTCGAAGATATCTCAAAATCCACTTCACAGCAGTCCAATGATCTCTTCCAGGATTGGAGAGAAAACGACTGACTACACCAACGGCGTGAGCTAAATCTGGTCTTGTACAAACCATGGCATACATCAAGCTACCCACTGCAGAAGCATATGGAACCCGTGCCATATCTTGCTTCTCCAACTCTGTACTCGGACTCTGTTGACTGCTCAATCTAAAGTGTGCAGCAAGAGGAGTGCTTACAACTTTAGATTTGTCCATGTGAAACCTCCGAAGCACCTTCTCAATGTACTTCTCCTGAGACAAGTGAATCAACCTCTCACCTCTGTCTCTAACAATTCTCATACCAAGAATCTGTTTCGCTGGACCCAAATCTTTCATGGCAAAGGACTGGCTGAGGTGCTTCTTCAACTCTTGAATTCTGCTCACATTCCTGCCCACAATCAACATATCGTCAACATACAACAACAAGATGATAAAATCATCATCACCAAACACCTGCACAAATACACAGTGATCAGAAGTAGTCTCTTTATACCCATGCTCCCCCATAACAGACTTGAACTTCTTGTACCACTGTCTCGGTGCTTGCTTCAATCCATAAAGGCTTTTCTTCAAGCGGCAAACCAAATCCTCTTTGCCCTTCTTCACAAAGCCTTCCGGTTGTACCATGTAAATCTCTTCCTCCAAATCACCATGAAGGAAAGCAGCCTTTACATCCATTTGCTCAACCTCTAGATCAAGGCTCGCTGCCAATCCAAGTACAACCCGAATGGATGACATCTTTACAACAGGAGAAAATATTTCATCAAAATCAACTCCCTTCTTTTGGCCGTAACCTTTTACAACCAATCTAGCCCTGTATCGAGGTAGTAAACTGGTATCCTCATGCTTAATTCTGTACACCCACTTATTAAGCAGAGCCTTCTTGCCCTTAGGCAATTTCACCAAATCAAAAGTATGGTTCTCTTCAAAAGAATCCATCTCTTCACCCATGGCACCAAACCATTTATCCTTGTGTTCATCCTCCAAAGCTTCCATAAAGCTTTCAGGTTCTCCCCCATCAGTGAGTAACACATACTCACTAGGATCGTACCTTGTCGACGGTTTAGGACCTCTCTCAGATCTTCTCACAGCAGGTAGGTTCTCGGTAGTTGGTGTTCCATCGTGATCGTCATCATGACCACCAATACCCTCATCATGTGCGGGAGCATCTGCATTGGGTGTATCAGAATGAACCTCACCTTCGACCTGACCGTGAACCGATGTAGAAGGAGCAACCTCTGGTCCGATCAAACTCTCAAAACTCTGAGTTGGATTTCCGGACTTGTCAATGTCCTTAATCGTTTGATCTTCCATGAACACCACATCTCTGCTCCTCACGAGCTTCTTCTCAACGGGATCATAAAATCTGTATCCAAACTCATCCTGACCATAACCAATGAACACACATTGTCGAGACTTCATCTCAAGCTTCGATCTCTCATCCTTGGGAATGTGCACAAAAGCCTTACATCCAAAGACCCTCAAATGATCGTAAGAAACATCCTTACCAGTCCAAACTCTCTCGGGAATATCACCATTCAATGGAGAACTTGGTGATAAATTAAGCACATGAACAACCGTGCTTAAGGCTTCACCCCAGAAAGTCATAGATAAGCCTGACTGTGAGATCAAGCATCTCACTCTCTCAACAATCGTCCTGTTCATCCTCTCAGCCAACCCATTCAACTGTGGAGTCTTAGGCGGCGTAAATTGATGCCTAATACCATGCTCTTTGCAATAAGCATCAAATGGTCCAGAATATTCTCCACCATTATCACTGCGGATACACTTCAACTTCTTTCCCGTTTGTCTCTCAACCAATGCCACAAAATGCTTGAAATATCCCAAAACCTGATCCTTCGTCCTCATAGTATAAACCCACAACTTCCTAGAGTGATCATCAATGAAAGTGACAAAATAGGATGCACTACCAAGAGACTTTGTCTTCATTGGACCACAAACATCTGAGTGCACCAGATCAAGTATCTCGGGTAATCTAGAAGGCGCGGAAGACTTGAAAGATACTCTGTGTTGTTTCCCCGCAATACAATGCGCACACTTCTGCAAGTGCAAACCAGAAATCCCTGGAATAGACTTCTTAGACAACACACACAAACCTTTCTCACTCATGTGACCAAGTCTCTTATGCCACAACTCCATGGCATCGTCATTCTCCAATGCATTTACAGTTTCTTTGGAGACCTTAGCTTGCATCCAATAAAAGGATGAGAACTTATCACCTCTAGCCACAACCATAGAACCACGTGAAAGCTTCCATTTACCACCACCAAACAAACTATAGAAACCTTCATCATCAAGTCTTCCCGTAGATATCAAGTTCAATCGAATATCAGGGACATGCTTAACTCCTTTAAGCATAAGCTTAGTACCAAGACTAGTCTCCAAGCAAATATCACCAATGCCAACAACTCGAGCTGAACCATCATTACCCATCTTTACAGAACCATAACTACCTGAAGTATAGGTAGTGAACAAATCCTGATGCGATGTAGCATGAGTAGTAGCTCCACTATCAATCACCCAACTTGTGTCTTGGCATGCAACATTAATGGCATCACTCTCAAGAAGGATAAAGAACTGATCTTCGGTGACTGTCACCCGATCTTCACCATCTCCTTGCTGCTTGTTGTCCTTCTTTAACTTCCAGCAATGGCTCTTAGTGTGCCCTTTCTTATGACAGTAATGGCACTCCAAATTTGCAAATCTACTAGACTTGCTCCTGCTCCTGTTCTTGTTCTTCTTGGACTCTCTGTATGTACTCCTCCCCCTTGACTCAGAAACCAGAACATCTGAACGCGAAGAACTAGCATTTGACTGCCTTCTTGCTTCCTCATTCAAAACACTGTTCTTCACTAAGTCCATCGAAATGGTACCTTCCGATGCAGAGTTACAAAGAGACATCCTGAACACCTCCCAAGAATCTGGTAATGTACCAAGAAGCCACAAACCGTGAATCTCATCATCAAACTTGATGCCCATATCACAAAGCTTGTTGAGCAATCCCTGAAACTCATTCAAGTGATCTGTCATCGGAGTTCCCTCCTGATATCTGAGCTCAATCAACTTTTTGATCATGTACATTTTATTGTTCCCGGTCTTCCGAGCATACAGCTGCTCCAGCTTCAACCACAAAGAACGAGCATTAACCTCATTTTCAATATGATGCAAAACATTATCATCAACCCACTGCCTTATCAGACCACAGACTTGGCGATGCATCAAGATCCATTCTTCATCAGTTTTCTTCTCAGGCTTCTTCTCTTGAAATACCGGAATATGGAATTCCTTCACGAAAAGCAAATCCTCCATCTTGCCTTTCCACAGATGATAATTAGCACCATTCAAGCTTATCATTCTGCCCATATTTTCCATCTTTCACACAAGCAAGCCAATAACCCAAAGCTCTGATACCACTTTGTTGGGAAAAACGGTCAATAACACGCAACACCGCCGCAGCGAAGCACTTGTGTGAACCTGTGAGAAAAAATATTTCGACAATGGCAGAATATGGCAAAGCTGAAAGTAAATGAGACAGCAAATTTTTACGTGGAAAACCCCCTCGATGTGAGGAGTAAAAACCACGGGACCGTAGTCCACTCAAAATCCACTATATGAAATGAATATAAGTTACAACCACGTCCTCCCTGTTCCCACAGAACAGATCCAGAGACTCAGGCTACAAAGAGCAATCTCCTCAACAAGAAACTCAACAAGAGAGCAATATAAAGGCACTACAAGAGCTCAGAAATAGACAGTCACAAACGACCTTCAGTTCACTAGGATTCCAGCCACCAAGAGAAGATCCCACCGTACAAATCCAAGATGAACAAGTCAAGAATACCTCTGCCAAATTTCAGCTCAATCAGAGAAGAACTCACCGTCGGATTTTCCAAACACTCAAGACAGAACCTGCTGAAAACCAGAACTCGCTACAGTAGCGAATAGCCCGCTAAAACCCAAATAACTCTCGAACCAACCGTCAGAACGCAAATCCCTCCGGTGAATCTCAAGATCGATGAGTCACGAAGCTCTCACAAAAGTTTCAGCCAAATCGGAGCACTATCGAACCTCCAAACGTTGTTTTTACAAAATCAGACGAAAGTGTTTTTCTCTTCTTTGCCTCTCAAGAAGTGCCTCTCTTTCTTGTATGTCATTCCACATGAATTAAGTTAAGAATATTTATATGGTTACTCTTAACCCTAAGCCCACTACTAATCTCATGAATTAGCATATGGCCCAATAGCTTGGTTCCTACTAACCAAGCCCAATGGTGTTTCCCCACTAGGAGGAACACCAACATTGTAGACTCGTAGTTGTCTTTTGCTTGAACGATGAATGCAAAAACGTCGGAGCTATTTGGAGATGGATTTCTGTACTTCGATTTGCTGAATCTCCAACGTTATTTGACTATGCTCGTCGGACTCTTCTGCTCCGACGTGATTTCAGGCGTAGATCAATACTATTCCTTAGTCCAGATTGCTATTTGGTTAGCCTGGCTGATTACAGTGATTAGGTTCTCCTCCGACGGAGGTTTCTGGAGATCGGCCGCCATCACCACCTTTGTTCCTGTCGGAGCACTGGTTTGGGCCGTATTGTCCTTCTGGCCCATTAGAGCAACCACATTGGACATACCCAAAGGGGGTTCTGGAGCCCAAAAATAAAGAAAAAAATAAAACATTATCAATGTGTCAAGCTCGAAGCACTGAACCGTCTCTCCCGGAGGAAGCTGTAGAATCGTCTCTACTCTACACGTGTCAGCAGAAGAATGCCCCGCCACAAATTTCTTTTTCTCTTTTTGTATATTTTTTTTCTTTTTGTTCATCGAAATCTTTTCATCGTCTTCTTCTCCGATCTCAACTTCTGCTCAAATCCTTCCTCTTCGATCTCAGATTCCTTCTTGTTCCACTTTCTTCTTCTTCTTCTTCTTCTTCTCCTCCTTCTCCCTCTTCAATTTTATCTGGCATTGAGTCGGCGACGATTCTCGTCAATTGGAGCTGTCTCTCCAATTCTCGGGCCTACCCAATGTAGCTTTCCTTCTTCCAGTCGAATGTAAGCCTGGATTTGGGTTTTAGGTGTCTGCTTAGAGTAAAACACATCCCCTAAAATTGCATGTGGTCAATTTATTGATGTCAATTTAAGAATCTGATCGTGCTCTCAGTCCCGTGTATTGCTGCAGCTCTTTCGCTAACCCTCGGAATCTGGTTTTGAGCGGTGGGAGCAGTGGTCTCAGTGCACCTGAAGCTCTGTTTCTTCTCCTTCTCCCTCGTCTGATATTTGTTTAGTTCTATTCTTTCAGGTTGCGATTCATCTTATGGTTAACCAACTTCTTGGAGTGTCGAGCGAGTCAGAAGTCGATGAAATGTCTCGGCTTTTCTCTGATTTTGTTGATGGATGTCTCTCTGTTCCTATCAACTTACCTGGTTTTACGTACCACAAAGCAATGAAGGTAATGATTCACATCAAAGGTCGATTTGTTCTCTTTGGAACAGGTTTGTTGAGACTCGTTTGTTTCTTGTTCAGGCAAGAAAGGAGATTATAAGCAAGATAAACAAGACAGTAAATAAGTTTGTGTTGGTCTATAGTCATATGTCGTAATAAACTGTGTTAGGCTAAGATGGAGTTGGACGCAAAGAAGTTTGCTGAACTATTGGAAAAATATGAAGCTGAAGGTGATGAGTTTCTACTACTTTCCGATATCTGCTTCGCAGCAATTTTGTTGCAAATTTCCAATTGCTTTTGGGATTTTTAAAGAACCCTATTGTATAGTCTTTGCCTTGCACGAAATATCAGTGGGGGTTTTAACTAAGTGGAGTTTGTATATGGTGTAAATAGATGGTGGAGAATGACAGGGAGAGGAATGTGAACAGAGAGGCTCTCACAGCGTTCCTTCTTTAAATTCTGTAATGAAGCAAGTCCGTGGGAGCTCAATCAAACCTTGGTCCAAGAAGATTGTAGATTGTCTATTGTCTATGTGTAGATAATGATCAAGTGAAAACTGTTTTTATTTTAAAGAACTCCATAGGAGCTCTCTAATGTGGATGTCAAAACTAAGAAAATAAGTACAAAACTATTAACTTAAAATAATAATATTTTTATTATTAAAAATTGCTAAAGAGCTCCATATGGGGTTTACCAATGCATATGCTCTTAGGGTTAGCTGTTTCTTCATCATTTCTTGGTTGGGCCCTTGTAATTTTCCTGGGCTAGACCCTTGTACCTTTCCTGGGCTTAACCCTTGTATTCATGGGCTTTGCCTTTGTATTCATGACTCTTGTCCATGTAATCTCTTAAAGTCACATGGCACAGTGACTATCTCTCGATCTTTCGGCATTGCCGTGATGATCAACTTGACGCAAGCTAGTTTATTCTCCATTTTGCTGTCAATCTATCTTGGAAATTTATCTGGTGTAATTTCTTTTACTTTCATGTTTTATTGTAATGTTTTAAGGGGATGTTTAATTCCCTCTTTGTGGTGTATGAAGTTTTAAGCTTAAAGAAAAACCGTTGACAAAAAAAAATGATATTATTTTATTTTTGTTCAGTTATTTAAAATTTAGAGTTAAAAATTTGATAAATATAGAGAAAATTTTAAAATTTATCTTCAACAAATTTAATTATTTTAGAATTTTATATAAACAACTTTAATATCACACATAATCTATTATTGATAAACATTGACCATAATATAAAGCCACAAAAATAAGAATACAAAATATTTTAGCTGATAATTAGGAATAAAAATGTTTATTATTATAAAATGAAAAACATCAAAATCAAATCATAATCTTTTGTTTTTATTATTTAAATTTTTTATTAATTAAACTTTGTTTTAATTAAATTATTCACAAATTTCAAATTTGGAAATTAACATAGTTTGATTTTTCAAATTTGGAGATATTATGATTTTTTTTTTTCAATATGCAACCGTCCGCAACAGCAAACACTTGCGGAAAAGAGCTTTTGATTTCCAATGGTATAGAATAGTATATAATAGTATTAAACAATTCAGAGCAATTGTTGTGATTATTATAAAATGTTAGTAACCGCTACCAATCACTATATTTACGTCTGCGGATAATAGCGAGAAAATAAATCATCACCTTACACGCATACATATCGTTGAACTTCCAGAATTTGAAGCGTGTTGTAGAGTACACACCTTTTCAAACTTACAACATAATCCTTATATTATATCCATTTTGACTTTCGAATAATAGTTAAACATAGCCGTCAAATAAAAGAATACTATTATGTAAACATACAACAAAGCTTCCAAAGGAAAAATAGCTGTCCCTCCTTTTGTCTTCATTTTCAAGCCGCCACGTAAAACATTGATAAAATGTATGTTATTTTATGTTATTTTTACTGGTCTTCACGTACGACCCGGCTCCATAATTGTATGTTATTTTTACTATTATAATGATGAAATGGGATGAATAAGATGATGATGATAATTGTTCTTCTCATCAAGGTTCCTCCTCTTACAACAATTCTCGTACCTCCATTCCCTCACAAGTAACATCATGTTCATCATCGAAATGTACAACATAATCATCACTATTCAACGAAACATCATGACTAGTTTTATATCTCCAGTTTATTGCACCACTATCATCATTGATCATAGATAAATTCACCACTTTGTCACTTGTTTCATCAGCATTATCTTCACTAATCTCAAAAACAGATTCCAAGTGAGGCCAATCTAGACCCTTAGGTTCGTCTTCTAAGTCCACATTTTCTTTGGAATCACAATAAGCATCAACAAGATGTAATCTCAGCCGTTCATCTTCTCGTGAAGCGTGGAAAATATCCGTCCGATCTATCATAACTTGTGTAAGTTCCAATCTGCCATCTTTCCTCACTGGCCAGAAATAAAAATGTAACATCCCGATTTGTAATAAATGAGGAAAAGAATAAGAGAATTAATTTGGCTACCTATGTCATCAAAGTGCACTTACCTTTTCGGTTAAAGACCCATAAAGAACTCCAGAGTTAAGCGTGTTTGGGCTGAAGTAGTGGAAGGATGGGTGACCTTTCGGGAAGTCCTCTGCGAAACCGTGTGAGTTAGGAAAAAACACGGGAAAAGGTCGGGTGATGATTGCAGGGATAGTAAATACATTCTCGGAGCCTCCCAAAAATAACGCACCGACCGTCGGACAGGGGTGGGGCCCACGGGCCGAGAGAGGGCGTGGGTGACTCACCGGGAGGGGCGGCGGGGGCGTTACAATTGGTATCAGAGCCGAACCCAGACGTATGTGTGGAGACGAGTGGACTCACACTGTTAACCGTCAGGGGGTGTCGATCTTGGTACGCAATAGGGGACGTTGCGCTCATTGAGTCGGGGTGAATTGTAATATCCCGGTTTGTAATAAATGAGAAGAGGTTAAAAGAATTGATTTGGCTACCTATGTCATCAAAGTGCACTTACCTTTTCGGTCAAGGGCCCATAAAGAACTCCAGAGTTAAGCGTGCTTGGGCTGGAGTAGTGGAAAGGATGGGTGACCTTTCGGGAAGTCCTCTGCGAAACTGTGTGAGTTAGGAAAAAACACGGGAAAAGGTCGGGTGATGATTGCAGGGATAGTAAATACATTCTCCGAGCCTCCCAAAAAATAATGCACCGACCGTTGGACAGGGGTGGGGCCCATGGGCCGAGAGAGGGCGTGGGTGACTCACCGGGAGGGGCGGCGGGGGCGTTACAAAAAAGATCGTTGTCCTTGGCCGTTCAATGACGAGAGCGGCGGAGGAAACACTCTCTTCTCCTCTCGCACAGGCACCACTACATTCTCTTCCCTCTTCCTCCCCTTTGGTTTTCCTCCTCTGCCTGACACGTCATCTTATCCTCCACCTCGTTTTTAGACATCCTCATGTCATAACTCTCAAACCCTAGAGACTCTGTGCACAACATTAAACCAGTTGCCTCTTCTATATTATTTTTCTCCGATGAAACGTACCCGGTGATATGCAGTGGTCCACGCGTCCGTAGCAGATCTCGTCAACTTTAAACGGCATCGCTTATTCGCTTTGGTATCGGTGTGGCCAATGAATGAGCAAAGGCTTGTTTTGTAGAAGATCATTTTGTTAAATACCTCCTTTTGTTGTATTATTGTGATGATTGATGAATAATTAATTTTATCTTTTAATAGTAAAACGAAATTAAAAAAGTGGGAATGAGATGATCAAAAGAAGCGGTGTTTTGCTTGGTGAATAGAGGTGCCATCGAGCATATATACTGTTCACACGGATATGACGATTAGTGAGAATAAATTGTGATTGAATAGTTGACAATATTAAGGGAGAGTAATCAGGGATTACTGTATCAATCAAAGATGTGATTCTTGATAATTAGTATGAGCTGTAGAGATTAGAAGAGAACGTAAGATGGGTCCCATGTCAGATTAGCTTTACACTTTGACTTCATTGGTTTTGACTGATTCTTTTACATCTAAGAAGATTAGACAAATTAAAACCATGTGTTTGGCTATATATAATTATTCTACATAAATTATTAAAAATCTTACCATATTAAACATATTTTCCAACTTATATATCGTAACATCGCTGAAACAATGAACAAAACGTGATTATTTTACAGTTTTAAATTTTATAGCAACAAATCTCATCCGATAGAATCAGTTTAGAACTTGTCAACATGTTATGTTAGCATAATTATAAAGAAAATGCTATATTCTCCACCACTCATAATACATTTGTTATAATGTCATGTCCAACAAAAAGATGCAAAATCTCATATTGAAACCGTGTTGGTTAGAGATTGATGACCTTCGTAATCCACTACATATACATTACAATGTCACATACCAATCGATGATTGAATATCCTCAAGTGTTCGACCTTTTGTTTCTGGTACGAGTTTTGCTACAAAAATAACAGTGGCCCCACAAACTGTAGCAAAACCATAAAATGTTTCTGAACAAAATTGAAAACCCATTTCACATATAGATAAAGAGAGAGATATTGATTGATAGAAAGAAGTAAAACTCGAACAAGACGTATACCTGAAGGACTCCAATTCATTAGGAAGTTGAATGCAAATGAAATAATCCATGATCCAACCCAACTAATAACAGTTACAAGACTTCCTGCTGATCCTTTTATATCTATAGGAAATACCTTGACACAAAATGAATTTTGAATATCTCAGTTCCAATGAACCTGAACAGAATTATATTTTACAAAAAAACTTTTGTCTATAAAACTTTAGTGTGAAACCAAAATACTTGTATGAATATTATTTACCTCTGACATAATGACCCAAGGGATCCCACCCATCCCTAGTGAGAATGATCCAGTGTATACCTAAAGGATTAATGACATATTTTCTATAAATTTTTTGAAGTTTTCCAATTTTAAGCTATTATAGGATTCAGTGTTTTGGAATTCAAACTTACCAAAACGCCAATGAGTGCTAGATATGAAGTTTTTCCATCCAACAGCTTTACACCCTAAAATATGATTAATCCAAATTTTATAAAATGAAAATTTATACATATATTGAAGCATGAAAATTCGTCAGAATTTTTTTATTAACATTAACATCAAATGAATCCTTAGTTTTATATTTTTTGGTCATGTAGAACGAGAATATTTTAGTATTGCATGAGAGAATTAAAAAACGAATACAGTGTAGTATGAGAACAATAGAAAAAGAGAAATATGACATAGTTGCATATAAAAAAAGATCCTGATATGGTTATATAGTAAAACATGTTTGAAATTTAGTTTATAAAGGTTGAACGAAAATATCTAACCGTGCAAATTAATTGGAAAATCGTATTTGATTTGAGGAGATGTCACTACTACAAGAATGTATTTTGGTGAAGTTTGGAAATAATGGGACGAAATGAAGCCAAGAGGCCTCTTCTTAAGAAGGAGACGAGAGGTTTTTGTTTCTTTAATTTAATTTTTTTTGGGTGGGTGGGTGGGTGGCTAATAATTAGTTTTAATCAAAATGAATGGATTTATTTTTGCTTAGTTCTTTTTTTATTCGAGTTTTTGAAAAAGGAATGTAGGAAATTATGATGGCACAATTCTCTCTCCTTTTAATTTTCTCACTTACAAAGGTTGACCAAAATGAGCACCCCACTTGCAACTATTCTCCTCACTTCATAAAGTTATCGTATTCAAAATTATACCCTCTCAGAATATTTTTCGTCATACTTTTGTATAACATGGTTTGAAAATAAGACTTGGTCTTTCCTAAAATTTCTTATAAAAACTTAGATTAATCTTCAAAACGTAGACTATGAGGCTAATTACTCTCTCTATAAATTTTGCTATGTTGGTGGCCAATGATCCGAATTAATTTTTGCATTTCCAAAACAAAAAATGTAGTTTTATTTCTATTTGAGTATTGCTTCGATAAAATGTTAGTACAATTTCTTTCTCGGGATATCTACAAATCCTAATAAAGTCGGTAACATACACTTACATGCACATGGACAAAAATTTCTCCATCTCCCATCCCCATCTTCAATAATCAATACATTCTTTTCAAAGATTCAGTGTTCTCTGAGATTTTTTTTTTAACTAGTTTTTTTTTTGGGTGAAGATATTCTCGTAATATACCACCGCAACATTTTATAAACATTTACAAATAATAAAGAGAGAAGGAGGGTATAATAATTAGAGAGTGATTAAGAGAGGACTTTAAATAAGAGACCACATGAATTGTCTCCCACTCCATGCTTTGCTTGAACAAGGCAGATATGGGTAACATGTCAGCTTGCCTACCAATCTTCAACCTCCTCACACTACACAATGTCCCTTTAAATCTCTTTTAGGTTCTTCTAATTTCTTGTATTGTTTAATTTGGGTTTTGGATTGTGATCGCCACTTTCTTCTTTAGGTCCGGTTTTCTTGATCTGGTCAGATCGTGTTGGGACTTAATTATCCAATTATTTCGACCTATTTTTATTTCATCTCTGTTTTTTTTTATTTGTTTTTATAGTATGGTGTGATTATTAGAAATTTCATAATTTGGATACCTTGAGCTTTTATACCATTTGAAAGAAAAATAGTATGTTGAACAGACAAATAGGTCATGTAATATATCATGCGATTATTTAATTGTATGAGACCATAAAGATATCATCTCTGTCTTTGCATGTCTTTTTCGTAGAGTTATCTAGAGAAACCGAGGCTTGGTTTAATTTACATCACCTCGTTTCATAGCAATCTAACACATAACTGTAAGGAAGAAATTTAATTTTACCAAAAATTAGTCATGAGGAAGATTGATAATAATGGTGGTGGTGGTGGAATATGATTCGCCAAAACGGAAATAAAAAGATGGTTGAGGGACTTAACTAAGAAAGTTGACGTGGCACGTTTCGTTGGCTATGATTTTTTTATTTTCACTTTTCAGCCAAGTTAGGTCACCCATAATCTACAAACTAACATATGCGTGGCTACGACGGAGAACTGGAGGAAGTATCAATTCTGTTGAATTCTCTTTCGCTGGTTAATTGGGTTTAGCCTTATTTGTGACTTTAATAAACTAAACCGACTAGTCGGGGGCGTTAGAAGTCTCTTTGATAAATTTGTTGATGTCTTTTGACTGGAAAGATTGCAATTCCCATAACAAAAATCTTCCCGACTTTATTTAAAGGGTCAATTTTGTCGTTTGGAACAAAAATAATTGAAGCATTAGAATATTCTGAGAATGTGGATGATATAGATACGTATTCCAATTAACGGTAAGTTTTAACCATTTGCAAGAGCTGCGAATTCATCTAAAGAGAGGGCTAAAAATCTTTTGAATCGCATACAAATAATACGTGTATGATATAAACTATTATAAAAGTCTCTGTGTTTCTCGTAGCATCGGTCCGCGACGGCAATACCAGTCTCCTAAGCGGAAAGGTGTGGCAAACTCATAAACACGACCACACATGTATTTATTGATTACACGATATTATTATTTAATAATTTATTTATGCCTAGTGTTGTACTTAAGACTCGAGGTGTCAACATTATAAAAACAAAAAAATCATAAGTAATGATTAACAAGATCCAAAAATTTATTCAGCGAAGACTTACGATGACCCAAAAATCAAAAATTTCCAACGCAAGAACGAAGACAAACTGTAACTGGACTGACCCGATAATTTAATTTAATGATCTAGGCGATTTCCCAATAAATGATACGTCATGATTGATTTTGTATTCGTCTTACTTATTTTTTTTAATTTAAAATGTTATCACATTTTGTTTTTTTGGAGCGTGTTCAGTGACGCGTAACTATACCAAAATAATCACATTATACGACAAAAAATATTAGGACGTGGAAAAAGATCAGATTCAAAGACCAGAGTTTACTAGATTTTTCTTAATTATTATCTTAGCTCGAAAGATAACGAGAAACATGTTATTTAAAATATGGTACATAGTAACAGAAATTAAATTATTCTAAACTCAGATAGATACAAGATAAATTAAGTATTTATGTATAAAGTTTTATGAGAGAAATGAAAAATTTAGCTGCGTATACAAAATCATATAGCAAATGTTGGCATAGATTTATAGAAAATTATATCGGCATTCAGTTATAAACAACACAATTATAAAAACTAATGGCAGGAATATAGATAAACGTTGACTTCTGAAAAGGGTGGGGGAAACTAAACCAATAAAAGTATGAGAAAAAAAGAAGGGGAGAATCAAGACAAAGGGAAAGGGTTAAAGATGTTATTTTATGAAATAAAATATGGTACATAGAAAATAATAATTTAAAGAACGGTGTGACCACAATTTGTAATACCTTTTTAGATGGTTTAGACTTTAGATGATTGGAAAAGAATTTAGAAATATTAGGTTAGGATTAAGCAAACCTCAACGAGAAAGATAAAACAAACCTCATCCACAACTACAGCAATAACAAACAAATAAATCAATATACGTTTCGTTGTTGATAAGCAAAAAAACAAAAAAGTATCAATAAGAAAATTGGAATATAGGTGTAGGAAAAGATTAAGAGAAAATGAAAGTGGTGGTTCTCATGTCATCAACACTTAGGCACCATCCATCATGCGATCCCTCACAGTCACAGGCTTATCCACACAAACACGAGAGAGAGAAACCAATTACGAAACTCGAAAACAGTATAATTGTCTGTTAGGTTCGACACCTGTCAGCTCCAGACATGTAGGTCCCTTCAATGATTTGGTATGATAGAGTATCTAATTCCGATTCAGCCCCCACATTACGGCCATTTAGATATTTTATTCGGTTAATTTAAATACCAATGATTTAGCTTAGGAGAAAGTGGAAGCATATGGGGCGAATTAGGATCAGTTTTTATCGGTTTTAATCAGGTTTAAGCTGGTTTGAAATTAGTAGTGGGAAGTTTTATTATAATAAACTAAAATAAAATGTATGGAAAAATACGTTGGATGAATGATAGAAGGGATTGTATTTGTCTGATCCTTTTTCTGTCATCTCCCAGACTCTACGGCCAACCAGACATGTTGCTTTTCATGTCTTTATTTTGTTCTTTTTCTTTTTATATTAAACTATGCATCAGTCAAATTATGGATGATGCTTCTTTATTTGTTATAATCCCATTTCAAATATCCACTCAATTTTGGGTAATAATAATGACACGAAAAGAGCTGTTTATCATAACTTTAAATTTTAACAAAGCCACCAAAATTGACGGTCTAGTTTTATATCTAGGATTTGTTAATTAATTATGATGTTAAAAAAAATATTTGTTAATTATATGCGACAGTATGCTGGAATTTTGGAATGAATTTTCCTTTTCCACATAATTTTTTATTTTCAGAATGTCAAAAGAAGCTTATCGTCGAACGAAATTTATTCTAACTGTATATCATGTCTTAAGCGTGTGCTTATTAAAGGCTCACCATTCATATCATACTCGTGACATTATAATATAGTTTGCACGCTTAATCAACTTTATAAACCATACGAAAACTCTCTTTTATTTAGTTTAATTTGGAAAATTCGATTAAGAAAAAGTATCTAGAACTAGAAGAGAGAGGGTTTGGCCTTTTGTGAGGAACTATTCGCAGGTTCTAAATTCAAAAGCACGTTTCAAATATTTCCCTCAATTGTTAACGGGCGAGAATAATTGAACCACATTGGGAGAAAAGGGAAGGGAATGATTTTTCTTATTTAAATGAATAATCACATTAATTCATAGGATAAAAAAACCTGCATGATTAATAGGAATATAAGTAAATATTCTGTCAATCAGGTCGAGATCTTGACTTTGTAAAGAGACGAATCATTGAGCCTTTGACCACCAAAGTCTACTCTAAAGAATATCTATCATCAAACTATTAGTATGAAATAATCAGAGTAGATAGAGAATAATTTTCTCTCAACTTATTGTAGTTACTTTATAAATAAACCGTTTTCTCACAAAAGTATGATTTCATTTTTTGTTCTCAACTAATATTCAACTCTACGATGATTGAACAGAAATAAACACTAATATCCTATAATAACAAACGTTATTTCGAAATCAATTATTCAATTAAGTAAGTACGATTTCTGAAATTGTTGGGGTTTACTAAGACATATACATATAGGGAAAAGAGTGAGTCACCGCAGTGGATTAGTGACTACTCTCGTGTCTCAAGAGAATTTGTAAACGCAAGCCACGATGCAATCTTTTGTCAAATATTTATATATAGGTCTATACGTATGTGTATAAGTATATGCAAATGTGTATATGTGTGTGTGGTTGTGAAAAGAAAGTTAAAAGAGAGAGGTAAGAGAAACGATGACCTTTCTTTTCGCTTTTGATTCGGCCAAATAAAGTCGGTGCGTCTCTTCATGTCTTCGTCCTTCTAATAGTCTATTTACATCATTGTGAG